ATACAAGTGTCTAAAATATGTTAAACTGTATTGCATTTGACTGATTCTATCAACAGTAGTATTTTATTATTTGAAACTGTGCCATACTAGACATTATGAAAAACTTTTAGCCATGGCTCTTAAGACCAATAAAACACAGATGTCAAGTAAAAGAAATATGTGGTCTGGGAAATTGTTTTTCATTTGTTTGTATTAAAAGTAAGAATTTAAACTGCAGGTGGGTTAGAGGTGTGTCATTTAATTGGCCATAGAACAGTTCAATTTGGAATTAACCAATATTATTTAAATAATTGGCCAATTATTAAAAACAATTAATTTGAACCCTTCCATGACTGAAATTTGAAAATGAATTAATAGAAAAAATTACTTTTATTTCAGGTTCTGGTGAATGTTTACACATTGCTTTCTTGTAGGTCACAAAAAACATTTTGGCATTTCCTGAAATAGCTTAAGTGTCTTTACTTTATCAACATTAATAAAATCTTTCAAGTTGGATTTGGATTGGTGTATTTCCATCTCTGATAGAACCATAAATGGCAATACAATTCATCTCTCGTTAATTAACATGTATTGTAATGTGGCGAGTTTCTTCTACAACAAATGTTGTAAAGTGGGGTAGCCCTTCAAAAAATACCTTACCAAAGTAAAGAAAGCTCTTAGATTACCAATATTATAATATGTGTAAATTAGGTGTTTGCACATTTTTATAACTGTACAACATTCAGTATTTTTTTCTATGTAAATGTATTTTGTATTCAAAATGTGATATTTTGATTAGATTACAAGTAAACTTGTTAACTCAAGCAAATAGTTTTGTTACCTTGAAGTTCTCTATAATACAACCATTTTTGGAATACCTTGAGAGAATTGTGTGTTTGGAGTAACAAATACCAAACTTTGCACAGGTCTAGTGTGGATAGGGCTGATAATGTTTTTTTTTCTCCAAGATAACTGTAGCTGAAAAATTCAGTAAGGTTACTGGTTATTTTAATTGTTATGGCCATGGATGTTTTATTTTTTGTCTACTACAACTCAAAATCAGTAGAACTTTTAGAAAAGTCATTGATAAATGATATAAATAATTTATTATTTCCAAATAATTCAGTAGTGAATTTCCTTTTCCACCTTACAGTTATTGCCACAACCTAAAGTGCAGGTTCTCATATTTCTGCCCAAGATATTTTAAACATCATCCTTTACCTGGTTCTTGAGATGGATGTGATGTTGCTGGTATCATTATCCAATTGCTTTTTTCCAATCCCATCTACATGGACATGGGAATTCAGGAGCTGGAGCTAATATTGTTACCTAAACTATCCAGACTAATAAGCCACTCTTGTTACGCTGAAGCAGAGTTGCATGAAATATTATTGATTATGTGTGAAAGTTCTTAATGGACATCATGTCTTTTGAAGACTGTTGTGTTCTTATCATGCACATTCCACTCCATTTCTGCCAGTACAAGGCTCCGATTTCCTAGTATTATAGGAACAGCACTACTGCATACTTCAGGGATTAATCCAGACATTTCTTCTTTAGACTTACTATGCTCAAGAACCACCACATCTCTCTCATAAGCACTAAGTCTGCAACAGAATGTTGAAAAAAGGAAATCCTTGTAAAGATCCTTTGGTTATTGTGGAATATAGGTTATGATTTATCATCCAATACAAAGTCTTGATGGAAACAATATTTTTACATGAAACAAGGCACTTAAAATTTATGAAGATAGAGGTAACAACCTGTCATATGAAACTTCAGAGTTCCAAATTGTGTAGTTTGTTACTTATCTACTATTCCACACTGTCTCTGGGGCCAACAGATTGCCAGCGAAGTGTTACATTTTGCAATGTGACAAAATGCTGTAGCTCCTTCACAGAAGTGTACAGTACAGTTATACTATAAAAGCTGAAATACAAGTGATACTCAACTGAATCTTAATGTTTTTTTTATTCTCTTCTGACCAGGGGTGGAATTCTCCCCAAAAAAAAGGTAGAGGTACTCAGCTGGGTGAAGTGGACATATTTTTGAAAAAGACGAAAAATTCATGGCATAAACATAAAAAACAACTCACATAAGTCCTGGTACTGCCTTAAAAAATAAGTTCCAGTACTCAGTACCGGCAGATTTTCACCCCTACTTCTGACAGTACATGTTTGATAATACCAATAAGCTAAAGATCTGTCAAAAAATACTTTTACTTACAAAACATGCCTTTATAATTTAATTTACTAGCAAAGTATAATTCATATTTGAAGACAACAACCAAGCAGTTTTCTTCATGAATAAGTAATTTTCTTACTACAGGTGGAAAAGAATGTGAAGAGAAGTATCTGTAACTTATAGAATGTTATAGTTGAATTGATAAACATTTATTAACAATTCAATCTTACTACCTCTTCTACAAAACTATCTTTCAGCAACATTACAATTCTGTTGGTAATGTAAAACATATTTGGTTGGATAACAACCAGGATGAAACTTTTGTGTAATTTAATTATTGTAAAATATAGTGAGTGCATGTGTGTAGTGGCAAACAATCAACAGCTGTGTTCAAAGTACTGCCTAAATGTGACAAATGCAAACATGGTAGCTTCATGGTCAATACTGGTTGTTGTTCTTGGACTGCTTGCTCAGTATCCATGTGGAAATGACCCTGTAGAGTGCACTCTCTAACACTTTGTATCATCTCAAAGGAAAGGTGACAGTTCATCTGGGAACCATTTGGCATACAATCTGGCAACAGTTCAAGCATTCTTCATACAGTTGGGACCATTATACTGAATACTATGACATTAATTACATCACTTGGGAGCAGCTGCAGTATGAAGGGGCTTTTATTTTTCTACTTTAACCTTTCAGACCCTCCAAAGGTGCAATGACCTGCTTATGCAATGCACCTCAAACCTATGTTTGTTAAAACACTTTTGCCAAGGTTATATCTTCTGAAGGTTTTTGTTTGTTTGCTTGTAGGTAAGTACAATGGGCTACCTCTGCTCTGCCCACCTGGTTCCTTACACTGTGCCAGTTTTGGGGGGGGGGGGGGGGGGGGGGGCTCTTCTGAAAGAGATGACCTCAATCATATTATCACATGGTATATGCACAATACATCATTCCACACCACTATTTTTTTTTTATATTATATGCACAACACATCATTCCATACCATTATTTTCTTATATGCACAACACGTCATTCCATACCACTATTTTCTTATATGCACAACACATCATTCCATTCCACTATTTACTTATATTATATGCACAACACATCATTCCATTCCACTATTTACTTATATGCACAACACATC